ATAGATAGATAGATAGATAGATAGATAGATAGATAGATAGATAGATAGATAAAGTAAGATAGGGTAAGATTATAATATCAGCAATGTAATGCAAACAAAACCCCCTCCCTGGCCCTGTCTCTAACCTGTTCCCGGCTCTGCTCCACCAGCCTCCTCCTCTCTGGAGGCTCCACCCTCGTCTCTATCCGTGCAGTCACCGCCTTTCCGCTCTGCCTCTTCCTCCTCCGCCGCGCTCTTCTTGTTGGAGGACCTCTTGGCTGCATAACAGTTTGCAGTTGGAAATGGAAACTGGGAGCAGAGTTTTGAGCATCTTCTTCTTCTCTCTGCTCCTGTTTGGAGGATGTCTTCCTCTCCGTTGGGCTCTGAACACAGCTGGCGGCTGCTGGCGCTTTGGGAGTTTGTCTGCTGGAGGATGGCTGCTGGACTCCTCTGACTGCTGCTGCTTCCTCCCCGGGCTTTCACTCCAGCCCCCTCCTGATCCTGCCTCTGCTTCTGGTTGGGGCCTGAGCCAGACGCTTTGAGGCCCTGGAACTCTTTAGCTCGCTTCTCGGTCTCCTGGTAGATCTTCCAGAACAGAACTGCCATGATGGTCACTGGCAGGTAGAAAGCAGCGATGGCTGTGCAGAACGTGATGATGGGCTCGGACAGGAACTGGATGTAGCACTCGTTCGGCTGAACGGTCCTCTCCCCCACGACATACTGCCAGAACAATATGGCCGGAGCCCACAGAATAAAAGAGACGGACCAGGCCAGTCCAATCATAACCATGGCCCGCTTAGTGGTCCGTTTAGCCCGGTACGTCAGCGGTCTGGTCACAGAGAAATATCTAGGCGAAACAGGAGAAGATACTAAACAAACATTTATCAATTAACCTTTCACTTCTGTAAAAAAAAAAAGTGTTTTCTGCTACCTGTCGAAGCTGATGACCAGCAGGTTCATGACCGAGGCATTGCTGGCCACGTAGTCTATGGCCAGCCACAGGTCACACACCAGCGGGCCCAGCGTCCACTGGTTCATGATGATGTAGGTGGTGTACAGGTTCATGGACAGGGTGCCGATGGTGAGGTCAGCAAAGGCCAGGCTGAGCAGGTAGTAGTTGTTGACCGTCTTCAGGGCCTTGTTCACCTTGAATGAAACTAAAACCAGGATGTTCCCCACAACCGTGATGAGAGAAAGCGTTCCAGCCAGGAGGACAATTATCACAACCTGAGGAAGACAACAGGAGATGGAAGACCAGAGACATGTCAGTGGGGTTAGAAACAGAGTCACTAAAAAAGCAGGCCAGCAGCAAATGTTCTGGAAAAGAGGCTGAAACTATGTCATATGACTGAATCTGGATTGGTTGTTAAATGTAAGGTTGTAGATGATTTTCTTTTTAAGCTTCGTTATTATTTATTATGAGTTATTTATCTGTATATTTCCCATACTGGTCAACATTAAAAAAATAACATTAACGTCCAACAACTGTCTCCAGATAGCTGAGAGGTCTCGATTTCCTACAGATTTGTAGAGATTTGTGGAAGATGGACAGCTTTGCTGCCAAGACACATAATTCTTGTATATTTGACAATCATTTAGCAAGAAAGAGTCGCAAACACTGTTACCTGCCAGACTGTATGTCCTCCCAAAGGATCGAAATCCTCTGTGGTCAGCATTAATGTCCCGTTCAGACTGGACTCAGAAAGCTTTCCTCCATCTCCTGAAAAGGAACTGGGATTACGCTTCCACTGACCCAGCTAAGAATGTACATAGTGTTATTATTCATATCATTTTAATCTGTTTAGTTAGTAAATTTTCAACAGAGCTTTGGAGAATAATCGTATGAAGTGTGCACATCATTTGCATTGCTCCTGCTAACAGCACTGATTCAGCTTTAGGGGTGTTTGCTGGTTGGTTTTCATACCAGAAGAGCTGTTGGTGAGGAAGTCCACAAGACCAGAGCTGGAGGTCAGGTTCATAGTAAGCAAAAGAACAACTAGAGGAACAAAGAAGGAACAAAATAAATTCAAATAAATCAAAGAGGGAAATTGAAGTTGCATTTTCCAACAGCATCAGCAGTATGTGAAGTGCAGTAGTACGTCCTATCTTTAGTTTGTGATAAATTTAGCCTCTAATTCCTGGTGATCCTCTTTCCAGGGCAGCCCTATCTGTGTATATTATCTACATCTTTACAGCTGAATTAATTTAGCATTTTGTAGCTACATTTGAAGCTACTGAGATTTGTGAGCAACCTGTGAGCAGAGGGAAAGAGCAGGAGGCTCGTTCCATCCTGAGGGAATGGTTTGTTCTAAAACTATCTCTGCAGACATGGAACCGGCAGAACCAAAGCAGAACTCAACCCGGAACGAGAGGCACCATTTAGAAACGGCAACCATGTGGAACCAGCACGCGTCTAACTCATGATGTTCCACCTGTTTTTGGAGTACAATTTACTCATTTTGAACTATAGCGACACAATTTCACAAGAGCAAAAAAAGGAGTTCACCTAAAGTAGATTTTACACAATGTGATTGGTTTGGTTGTGTAGTCATTAACATTGCAGGGTTTTTTTTGGGTGGACTTATCATAGTTATCATCATAAACTAATAGTTTTAAGGTAGCATGCAGCGACCCACCTCAAGTGAGTCAAAATAACTGATCATTCTTTCATTCTAATGTATAATATAGTTAAAGGATTAAACGTGACTTACTTTGAGAGAAAGCCTGCCAGATATATATGTGAGCCTCTAATTTTCTTCTCTATGAAAATACTAAAAAAAGAATAGGAAACATCCGAACATATTGGGAGAAATTACATTCGAACTGTATTTTCTCTCATTGTGAATAATGATAACACTAAAGTCTACACACAAATTAACAAGCACTTCATGATTTTTTTAAATAAGATAAAGACAAAAACAGTCGTTTTGAATTATTACTATCATGAATATTAAATATTAGTCCCTTTCATTTCAACAAAACTCCAGTGTCATTAATTTACCATAGTCACTCATTTAAAATGGTGTATTATTCATTCATGTTACCTACCGTCCCAAATACAAATATTTTTCCCAATTTTATAGATCTCCAAACCCTTTTTCTCACTACAGACAGAAAAGGGTTTTCATATTGTCATTTCCAAAATGGCTTTACATTATTTGAAATAATGACAATGTGGCAAAAACACCTTTGCGGTTGAGGATGGTCAGCTTCCATCGTTTTGCTGATTCTGGCAAAGATTAGCACAGCCTGTAAAGACCAGAATACACTACTAATACAGGCTGTACTAATTAAAGCCATAACCATCACATCCTCGCTCTCTGCCTTTAGATGGAGGTACAGCGTTGGGGAGGAAAACCTTTTGATTGGTTCAATACTTCTAATAATAAGGGTTAAATAAAAAAATGTAAAGAACCTAAAAGAATACAAAGGTGAATCAACTGCAAAGATTAGAAAATAAATCCAAGATGCTCACTAAGTGCAAAAGTTTTACCTTTAACTTGGACATAGTCTGGATATACTCCAGATAATGTCCAAAAATATAACAACACACTTTTAATGTGGTAATATCTCATATTGTTAAGTTCTCTGTTTCTGTCACAGCAGTTCATCCAAGCCGTCTTTACAGTTTAAAACTAAATCATTCTTAAAGCTAACTGCCATGTTAGTCTTAAAGCCCGGTTCTGAAATGAGTCAACCCATAAGGGTTTGGTTACCTGCTTTGGTCCCAGGTGTCCGCTGTGATGTCCTGCTGGAGCAGAGCCTCAGGGCAGCTGCTGCCCACACGGCTCAGCCGATGAGAGACCAGTCCCCCCCGCCCCCCCCCGCCCCCCCCCCAGCCCCCCCCAGCTCCCCCCAGCTCTCCTCCTCCTCCTCCAGCCGGTCAGGCCCCGGCGGGTCAGGCACGGAGCAGAGGTCATCTCAAGATGCACCGCTGCATTTTGGAGGACCAATTAGGGGAAAAAAAAACCTTAGAAATTCAAACATGAGAAATCCAAAAGACTACAAATAAAAGATAAATAAACCTAGCAGAGTTCTGAATTATGGTTCCTCAGGTATAAAACAAATAATCCTTTCCTTTAAATTGAGAATCTGTACGTTTCTTTTTCATTAATGATTTCTTTTCCTCGTATTTCTTTATTCCTGCTCCCACTCTAAACAGCACATTGTCAGAGGGAGTTTGTGGGTCTCTCCATGAAACTTTTTAATGTTTTATTGAACAAAATAAAGATAATAAGGGCATTCAAAGTAACAATGTTAATCAAAAGTCGGCTCTTGCTGATGACTCGTTGGCTTTCCTCTATGGCAGAGCTAATTATTCCCCAGGAGCTTCTGCCCCCCCTTCTGTGGGCTGTGCTGTTGTAGGGAAAACAGTCGCCCCTCCAGCCTGGTTTCACACCCACAAGTCTCCCGGACCACAGCACTGAAGATTCCTCCCATACTTTTTTATGTATTCTGTGTTTCACAGCTCATCAGAAGCTCAGAGTCTTTAAAAAAAAACAAATCACTCTTAAAACCCACCTGTGCAAAATGTCTTTCTTTAATTGTTGTCTGTAAAGAGTCTTTGAGTGACACAAAAAGCACAATAGAAGTTGTGGTTTATTGTCATTATCATTATGAAAAATAATAATGAACAGAAAAAAAGACTTGAGCTTAAAGTTTTATTCTCCAGATCATGCAAATCCATACACGATTATTTCTCTTTTACATATTTCTCTCTCATAAAGAGCCTACCTATTTCAAAAAGTCTACATAATACACAACTGTGTGGCAAACGAGGCATGCCCCCTCTCATGGTGAGTCAGTCAAATCATTTCCATATGACCCAAATGCCATCTACAATGTTAATAGCAACAGTGGTATTAAACTCACACTAAATGAGAACAGGCATGGTTCAGCATGGGATGAGCACACTATGGAGATCTAAACACAAACCGGTCGCTTCCATGTGTGACTGTCCCCATGCTGCACAGTCAGCACAGCCAAGCATGAACCAGGCATGCACTGTTGCTCAATAAAAGGTGGAACTATATGGCTCTTTATCCGTTTTTGGTGGTTGCTGTGACAACGACAGCAGCCACTAAAATTCTCCGTCCCCCCGGGGTGTGCACACTGAAGTCAGCCTAACAAAACCGGATGACGCAACATGGTGTTCTTATAGAAGATTAAAGTCTCCAAATCACCAGCAACAGAAAATATGTCATTCAAGTTAAAAGAAAGATATCAGCAGCAGTAAAAGCCAGAAAGGAGGATTTAGAGAACATTTTCACCTGCAGTCACTCGTATTCAACTCTGAAATGAATTCATTAAACCCGGCCCAGAGTTTTTCTTCCACTCTTTGCTCAGCAAATAATATGAATACGTTCTTTGTCCTAACGGAATCATGGAATAACTTTAACAGAAAAATATGTCCTTCCATAATTCCAGTCAATAAATAAACAAATAGCAATCTCATGTCAGTGCATTTTCCCAAACAGACTCACAACCTGACCACCAGCTCCCAGAGGGAAGCAGCAGTCAGACTGTTAGAGGCAGCAGCGGTGGGGGGGGGGGGGGGTGGGGGGGGGTACAGGGGGGGAGTTGGGGGAGGAGGGTCTCTCTGTAGAGCTGGCTCCTCAAGAGTTTGCAGAAGACGGACAGCAGATTAAAACCGTTTCACCATAAGTTAAGCACGATGGAGTTTGCCTTCCTTAGTTTGAACATTCCCATGACCCGCCCCCCCCACGCGCATTCCCCGGATGGTTGCAAAAACATCAAAATCATAAAAACAGACGAGATGATAGTAAGCGTGACCTGCATTCTTCAACTTTCAACGTGACACAGTTGTGACCAAAATGAATGGATGAGTTACAACGAGGCTTGCAACAGTTAAATACAGTACCGAAATCTTGATAATCTTTATCTTAAATAATTCCATTGAACACTTAACACAGTTTATAGGTGGCATAGATTAGGAGCCTTCTCATACATGATAATTACACCCCCATAATTAACATGCAATGGCTTTTTTCTTAAAGTTTTTTTTTTCTTTTTTGAGAATGTCTGTACAAAAAAAGAGTAACTCTGTTGGCTTTATTGCATAAGATCACCCCCTATCAAACGAAAAGCAGAAAGTCCGTGACATGTCTTCAATACTTCAGTGTTTACCTACTCTGAGGAAATATTCTAAAACACATACTCCTATTATCGAAGAAAGAATCAACAATCAAACAATAGTCATGACCATTGTACTTTAATGGGTTAAATGAATATGCTAAACCCTAGAGGGCCTGTTCAGAGCAAACTTTACTGGGATATAAACTCCAGTCAGTTTGCTGAGTCAGCATAAAACTGGTTTTCTCACAGGCTTTTGTTTGCTGTTGAGTATTGCAAAGTACAATGTCAAAAATAAGCAAAGGTGGAGTGGCTCCTCTGTAAATAAAAAAAATAGATCCTTATAAACCTTCATTAAATAAAATGTCAAAATGACATTCCAGCATGCAGCATAAGCCCCGGGTGGGTGGGTGGGGGGGTGGGGGGGTCAGGATTCTGTCCTGGCTCTTACCCGTAGCTCACAGAAGCAGCAGGAAACAGATTTCCACTTTCCAAAGCATCCCGAGCCTTTAAAGCAGCAATGCAACTGCAGAGGAGACCTCAGAAAGGTCCAGAGATAAATAACCGCACTACAAATGAAGACTAAGCGTTATGGGTCTCAGCTGACCGACGGGTGGGGCAGCAGAGTCTTTATATTTCCTAACGCAGTTTCTGCTTTAGCTGTGACACTGAGAGAAAAAAGACTTCCTTAATAAGCTCCTCAGTCCTCCAGCTCCATATTCCACCTGGTTCTTAAACTGAATGCTTTTAAACTAAATGTACAGAGATTTGAGGTTTGACCTACAGTTCTGCATATCCCCTGCTGCCCGTCTAACTGGGACATTTGATCAGAATTTTCAGTGATATGATGTCTTCTTTATTTCTCCAGCTGGTGGTTTGAGGACCCAGCCACCCAATGAAATCAAATGTCGCACTTTTGCTAAAAAGGACAAATAGTGATGAGCTAAACATGAGTGTAAAAGGAGCCAGGACCCTTCTCCTGGTCTGAAACCACCAACGGTCAGCAGCTCTGCACCAGCTGAAGCCTCCACACACTCTTCTGACCGCGAACCGAGACCTAGTGGAATTATACTAATTGTGATAAGTAATTCTAAATAGACTTATAAT